ATATCGGCAAGGACGCTTGCCGACGTACCTGCGCTCAACTTTTGACCTAGCTGTTCCACTTTCGGTTTGGTTCCATGGTGTTTGATCACGATACTCTCCCCCCAAACAGATTTCCTTCAGCAGCTTTCCGCAGCTTTCCATCGCTAAGTTTTTTCGCAGTCAAGAGAAACCGCCACTGTTCAAACATTCTGTTTCCGCGGACTCAGCCACTTTTCCGCTGAGCCACTCCTTTCATCCGGGATTATGGTTAACTGAATACCCTGTGACTAAGTGTGTCTGTGCCAAATCCACTAAGGACCCACACGGTGTTGCACCTTGGGGCTGTCACCCAGGGGGACTGAAGTCTTATAGAAAAAGGTCGAAGGCACCTTTTCAAGCTTTTTCCTTATCTGATTCAGGGAAAAAGTCAGCTGCCTCAACATCACCTCAACTGCCCCAGACTCAGCCTCATCAAATTTAGGGACACCTAAGCCCCAACAACACCCTTGGCTGATTCTCCCTGATCTAGTAAATCTCTCACTTGCATATGCCATGAACATGTGAGGATTGATTAGGTTGTTGATTGGACGAGATTGCTGGAGGTTCTCGGGTCTTTCAAATCACTCAATCTTTGCTGATGTTGTCACTTTCAGCATGGTCCCCTCTTTCATGTCATAACTTATGAGGATCTTCGTGCAGCGGACCAGTGGTTCTCTGTGTGTGTACACCCTGGACTCACAGTGACAGGCAACCTTCTGGCTTTTGGTTTGTTGATCAGTCTGGCGTACCTGCGTGATGACTTGACACTACCTCTTGGGCCCCGTTTGTATTTGAACAAGACTCTGTCCATTGCATCGGTTTGTTGTCAAGGGCTAATGACTTCGTGCTCGTGGAAATTTTCTAAGGTGCGACCCATCTGTACTACTCAGGCCTTTTTCATACCTAGGTTTCTTCAGGGCTTGGAGCGATCAGATCGTGCGTACAGTACTTTGTCCTGAGTGTGTCCGTGCATAAAGGTCATGCCAGAGACCGCAACACCGCGGTGTTTCAAGGGAGAGGCAGCTCAACAAAGACCACCTGTGACAGTATATATATATATATACATATATTGTCATATATCATCATAGATCTGTCTTGATGGTGCTCCAGAGCTCAGTAACTATACAGCCAACAACTCAAGGACAAGCAGCAGGTTGGTGGTTCCCTTGAGTATGCATAAAATTTAAAAATTATTGTGTTTAATGATGAATGGTCCTCTGTTTGTGGTGTTTTTATCTTTTCTGCTGTTTTTGTTCTTGGTCTTGTTTGTGCTGCTGTTGTCTCTTGTTGATATTTTTTGTTTTTGCTACTCTCGTTCACGTGGATCCTTGAATTCCTTAGGTGCACTCCCAACTCTGCCAGGTGCACCCTCCAATTCGTCCACACCTTTACCTTTAAGTTGATAATTATATATCTCACTGGCGCAACTTGCATCAAATCTTCACATCAAAAGCCGCCTTTAAAATTCCAAAAGAAACCCACTCCACTCCTCCTCGTGATTGTCATTGGCCTCCATGAGAAGGAGCTTCTCACCATCCTCGCAGGACCTCTCGCCATAAGATTTACAATAATTTTCGTCCTTGAGTTTGATGATCCAAATACCTTGGCCGGATTCAGTTTGTTTGTGGGCCAACTGGATGGCAAGTCTTGTGGCAAGCCCTTTCATGACCGAAAATGGAAAACCCACCTTCACAAAAAGGCAAGGAACCTTCCCCAGAAGAGCCTCGATTCTGTTTGATCACACGCGGCTGGAAGGCCATGGTCTTCTTGAAGCCGGCGGCAAACTCTTCAGGCGAGTAGTATGCCAAAGTGTCTTCCAAACCAATGTTCATGGTCGCCACCTTGCACAAAGCATCCTTGGCACCCATCTTCTCCATGACATCCGGGGATGGCCAAATCTGTTTGCCCGCCTTTCTCAAGGCACGCATGCCGTCATCAAACTTTTGCTGGTCTCCACCATCCGCTTTGATCTGCCCGGGGTTGCACCTCACAATGACGAAGTCAAAGTTTTTGCAAAGTTCGAAGAACTTGTCATGTTCTTCATGAGTATAATGAATCAATTGGCAGCTCATTCCCGAGTTGATCATTCCATTCACAATGGGAATGGAATCGTACCGATGGCCATTGTTGCTCTTGTCTGAACCTCCGTAAGGCTGGCTTCGGACATAGATCTGAGCCAAAGCCCCCTTGAACTTTGGAGCCGAAGGCTGATCTAGCATACCCTTGTAGTCTTTGGCAACCACCGTGATGGAGCTGCAATCGACAGGGCCGGGGCATGGTTTCTTCTCCATGCATGCATCCTTAATCTTGGCAAGATGGTCTGCGGGCAATTCCTTCAAGGCTGCAGCAATCTCTTCGGGGGACTTGCCGGCAATGGCATCGGTAACTTCCTTGGATGCACCAGAGCCCATGACGACAAGGATGGTCAAAAAGCGAGAGAGCTGGAAAGCGCTTGAAATCGTCCGGAATTGCTGCGGAAATCAAAATTGATGTGGCACAAAGTGATTTTGCTTGTATACGTCTGCCTCCAACCTACTGCACAAGTTTCAGTTCACCTTCAATTGAGGCCTAAGCCACCTTCCGGGAAAGTATACATCAACTTTGAGAAAGCACTTTTGGCATCATTTGACAAGATCTTGTAAAAGGGTCTCTCCACCATGCTCATGCATCTGTTGCTGAAGACACAACCAGCCTCATGTGTAAGTAGCACCCATGCATGTCCTTCCGGCTGGCGATCACCTAAGCTACATCGCGGGCTGAATGGTCTCCCTTTTTGCGCTGCTCAGTCTAAACGTTCGGATTCCATTCCCAAGAAAGGCCAAACAGTTGTGTTCCAAGAAAACATGATGCAAGTCGCTTGCGCATCTTCTTTTGATCTCAAGCTATTCTAATGCAAATCCTTGCTGCTGTTCCAAAGGTCCCAGCTTGAGAGGGCCTTTGAAATGTAAAAGCGATTCTTATGAACCACGAAGAGCTGACACAACCTTTGAAGCCATATCATTTAAGTCGACATAGACGGCTGTTGAGAAGGGGCCAAAGGTCGCCACCTCATATCTCCATGGCGGACCATACGTCGAATCCTGGTCAACAAGCACCTGCACAGGGCAGTCCTTGAGACAACAAGGCGTTGCGGTCATGGACCAAGGTAAACGTAGTGGTGGATTCACCAGCCACAAGCCCAAGGGCTTAACACCTGTAGCCACCAGCTCTCGGGCCATGGCAAAGGCGATAAAGGCACCACTGGCGAATCCTACAAGTGCCGGGCCAGGGCCTCCAGAGACTTTGATCGACTCCAAAAGTTTGGTGGCCAAAGCCCTAACCCGCAGGTCGTGCTCTTCATCCTGAACAATATCTTTGCTGAGAAGCTGACGTGAAGGGACTTCGGACGCTTGGCAATGCCAATTAATCTTCTGGTCCTCAGTGAAAGTCACGTGTTGAACATCAAGGTCAGAGCCATCTTTCGAGAAAACCTCATGTGACGCCTGGCACAGCTCCATCAGCAAGGCCAGTCTCTGGATTGGCTTTGGGGGAGAGCCACTGCTCACAAATGGCTCTCCCTTGAATTCAAGGGCTTCACCCTTGGCTTGCATCGCCTGCAAGGCATCCATCACTCTGTGCAAGTCTGGCCCTGCTCCCAAAGGATCTGGAACCACTAGCAACTGCCTCTTGCCAGCAGGAGGCTCAGAAGCCAAACCTCTTTGAACGGGCAGCCACAGACTCCTGCGCACACCATTGTCCTCATGATCTGTGGGTGTGAATACATTTCCCTTTTCCATAGCATCTAGGAATCGTGCAAGTCGCCAGAACTCAGGTTGATCCTTCTTGAGAAGCGGTGGCTTGTGTCCATCTTTGTGGACAATCACTTCTCTGAAGTCTGGGTGGATAAAGAGTGGAAGCTCTTCATACTCCATGTACGGATGGTTTTCATCTGAGTTGGACCAGCTGCAAACACTTGGGATCTGTAGAGGGGCTTTGATTCGCTCCCTGCCCATCGGAGACAAATGTTTCGGTGCGGTTGTGGTGAAGAGGATCAAGAAGCGGAAAGCCCCTTGCAGCTCGGGGTCCCCCTCGGTGGCCATTTTTGCCACGTGGACTAAGAATTCTCCGCCCATGTCAAAGCCCATGGCACCATCAAAGGGCCCATTCTCCTTGATGAATTTCTTGAATTCAACGAGGGTCTTCTCAAGGCCTTCCCAGGTTTCCCACTGGCAATTTGCAAACGGCAGGCGCTCGAAGTAGACCGTAAAATTGGGACCGAAGGGCTTCAATGAAAAGTCGCCGTTCCAGCCTAATGGCACAGCATGAGGACCAGTCCAAATAGTCCAGTCCAACTGCTTCTTTTGCGGGATTTCCTTGAAAGTACTATTGAGCTGCATCTGGGCAACAGTTTTGCTTACCCCGCCACCGTGCAAGTAGAGCATCTTCATCTTTCCATCTTTTCCAAAACATCGGCCGCTTGGGAAAGGAAAAGGCGAAGATTCCGGCACCAAGTGCTTCACCTCTTTGGGGAACGGCTCCAGCACTTCTGGCTTTCCTTCAGGCGTAGAAGTGGGCTGGACAAGCTCTTTACCAGCAATCTTAAGGCTCACCCACCCCTCTGCTGGTCCTGTGCCTTTCAGCAAGCAATACTTCAGCCGCTCACCCGCCCGTTCCAACTCGCCAAGAATTGCACCAGTGGAGAGCCGCCCAGACAACTCAGTAGACTTCAAACTCTGGCCCTCCCGGACCAAAATCCCGCCTTTGTCGGCCCCACCCACCACCTCCCAGAACGACATGGCGCTGATGGCTAAACACAAACACAACCTATGTCCATGTTGCAGATTTCACACACATCAATGACTCCTGAGGCCTGCCGTCTTGCAATTCAAAATGAGTTGCCTTTGCCTTCATGCAATGATTCGACTTGATTGTTCCAGTTGTTCCAGTCCCTGCTTTCAGACAAGCTACTTATCGCAGCTTAAGCCTCAGGAGTTAGAGAGCAAATCTGTTGATTGATTGACGTGCTTTGGGCCTTTGAATTGGTGGGGAGCAGTCCATGTACAACTGCCCACGCCCCTCCGAGTGTTGAGTTACCAGATTTCGAGCACCCCAAAACACGACGGGAACGCGGCTGCTGCCATCTCACAGCCTTGACATCAGCTTTAGTGAGTGTCTTATCTTGGCTCCTGACCCTGGCAGAAAGGAACACGCTGCGCTTGCCTCAAGTGATGGACAAAAGAACGAACAAATCGTCCACAATGAAGGACAAATATCCTGCTGTGTAGATATCCTCTATGAGAATGTGTCATACAGACTGGTGAGTGAATAGCCTGTCAAGAAGTCACTCTTTGGTTCGTCGTCTCTTCGACTGTTACGTGTATTTCCCCTATTCCCGGATTCCCAGCAAACCACATCTGGCTCTCAGCAGTTTCGGCTGATTGCGCTAGTAAACAACAAACCCCACACCCGAAAACCTCTCATTGAATGTTTCAGTTGAATCTATGGAAAACAATACAACTCTATATATATATATACACATATGTTTGTTGTCTGCTCCTGTTTCTCTGAAATGCAAGTCATTTGCACTCTTTCGTTCTAAATCTAAGCCGAAATCTCATACTTAAAGCAGCGGTCTCCAAAATATTACGTCTGAAGCAGTGTGCACAGTTCACAAACGCGAGCTCCAGCAAAACATAGGGCAATGATCTATCTCCCAGCAAAATCTTCGTAAGTTGAAAACTAATCCTTCGGGTGCTGAAAGAACATTCAACGTCAAAAGGCACTATGACGTCTGACGCAGCACACAAAGCTTTAAAAGCACAAGCTCCAACATTACATGGACCAATCTCCAAACAGAAACAATCTCCTCTGGTCGCAACATACAAATGAACTCAAATGTACCCAGAAGCCCACGCGTGCCACACTGAAAATCAAGACAAAGAGAACGAAAGAGAGTGAGTGATGCAAAACGACAGTGCGAAATAAGCTGAGAACAGCTTGGAGCGAGACTAGACATCTGCATCCAAACCTGATTTGGAAATATGTATCTGGAAATATAAATATATATGCTACCCCCCCCACCAATACACACCTTTTGCGATACATTCCAATTCATTTTGTTAGTAGTATCTAATGCAATTTGCAATTGCAAATATAGTAATTAATGGATATAATTGATCATGTGAATTTCAAAAATGTCAACTCAATTTGTTACATTGGACTTGCAATTCAAAGTATGAATCTCATGGTGCACGAGTGTGAAGACCCCACAAAAAGAAACATGACAATTTACAGAAGAAATTGTGTACATGACAATGAACAATATTATGTATGAGCTCTCCAATTCATACTGTCAGTTGCACCCAGTGCAAATGCACGTATGACAATTGATGAATACAACTTATTATATGAGTTGTTAGTTTTTTGTTACACTGTGACATTACATTTAAACAACTCAAATTTGGAATTTAAAATTCTATATTTGTGATAGTCACAAACATTGGGTTTACGCAACTGGAACATTGACCTGCATGCTTTATAATTGTGAATATCACAGGGTAACACATAAATTTGCAGAACTATTTGTGTGCATGGCAATTGATCATATCATATCAATATTCCAGTCCGATATGATTGTATAAAATGATTTGGTTTGCCCATCACTCAAGTCAAATCGTCTTCATAGATCGTGAAGACGTCACTCTTCACTGAATAGGCCTTAATATCATTTTCTTAAAGTTTATTACAGTATATGCTTCATACATTGAAAAGTTATGATATTGACGTAGCAACCCTTTTATATCTCTAAGCCCATTGACCAATATATGTCTATTGGTGATGTTTAAGATGTAATAGGTATTGCATGTTTGGTTCTACTTCTTTTTCTATTTCTTGTTGTATGGCACAAATCCTTCCTCCAAACTCACTTTGGCAATGGCATGCCTCCCTCAAAGTGTTAAAACAGTAACTCTTCTGTGCAGTGTTGTGTGATTTTTATAGCATTCCAAAGGTGATGTTTCCTGGTTTTTCGTTAGTAAGATCGGTTTCCCATAGTTCATTAACAAGCTGGTCATAATTGACCTTATGAATGCATGAAGGAGTGTTATAACAAATTTCCTTGCTTGCTTGTAATAGTTTTCTTAACAACGTTCCATATATCAAGTTATACCTCTTATTGAGAAAACAGTTGATGCCTTCACTTCCACTGTATACAATGTAAAACTAGATAATTTGCCAGTGTCAATGTCATCACTGTAATGTTTCCAACTATTGAAAACAGGTATGAATTTAATCTGTGCAACTGCCCAGGTAAAGACTTTAGTCCTGTCAATCTCTATCAGTTTTGTTGTATCAATGTGTTTTATCAAAATAATCTGATGGGACTATAGTCCTACATGCATCCAATATTGCATTTGTAAAGAATGTCCTTCCGGACCCCTGGTAGCTGTGAACAAAGGATGCAAATGCTGTGGTGTGACGAAAGTCTTCCGAAATCTGCAGAAATCTTAAGAGATCTTAAGATTTTCCTGGAACCAAGAAACCAAGAACCAAGATTGCACGGAAGTCTTGGGCAAAATCTTGGTTCTGATGAGAAGGTTTTCTTGGAACCGAGAACCAAGATTATCCCCAAGACTTCTGAGCAATCTTGGTTCTTGGTTTCTTGGTTCCAGGGAAATCTTAAGATTTCTTAAGATTTCTGCAGATTTTGAATAATGTTCTTGTTTGCTTCTTGTTCTCAGATATAATCTTCACCTGAGGATGTATATATATATATGGCACTTCCCTGTCAATTACACCGCCGCAAAAGTTGTTGGCGCAACTCAGGGGTAGCCACCATAGCCATAGATGGCTCAACACCACATGTCAATTAAATCATCTTTGAGCTAGGAAGCACAAAAAACTGTCGCAAAAAAATCATTAAACATCACGAAAACTAGGGCTGCAAAATCTGTTCCTTTCCTGCGCTTTCTGCTTCATGCAGTATAGCATTTCCTGCGCTTTCCTCTCCAACTTCATGCAGTACAGCATCAGTGGTGAGATATTTGCAGAGTTGAAGCCTACTGTATGCATTGATTGGCATTGCGCCATCTGTGGTTCTGACATAAAGCCCCCACACGCAAATAAAAGATGACAAAATGGCGAGATCTTGGACCATAAATGCGGTAGTTTTCCAGGGTTTTTGGACTTGTAGATGGCGCAACAGTGTGTGGCCCCCTGGAGTTCGAAGATGAAGCAACAAAAAAAGACAAGCCATCAATTTTCACCCTGGAGTAATTGATAGATTATCATCCCCAAACATGGTACCACCCCTCCAGAAAGTGTTCCAAACAATCATGTGAAAAAAGGTCACAAAATATCACTCAAAAAGATGAGTCCAAAATATCACTAAAACACTGTAATTTACAGTATAGAACACACAAAGGGAGTGTATTGAAGGGGGGGTACCAATGTATATATATATGTATATGTGTGCTGCTGGGTGCAAAGTGCAAATATGCGTTCTCTGGTTGGCCTAAAAGTTCCGTGGCTTGCATGGTTTCTTGTCGCGTCGCGGCCGTCTTTCAATTGCCTGTGAGAACGCGACCTTGAAGTCTTGAACCCTTGAAGTGATCGCAAAAAGACTACGAACATGCTCGCAAGAGCCCTCCGAACCCTTCCCAGCTTCAGCACGGTTTTGCTCTGACTGGAGACCCAACTACTGAATTCACTTTTTGAACCCTTGGTGGTGCACATTGAAACACTAAAACATATTTGAAAGTTGATTTGGGGAGGAGAGCATAATAAGTGCATCTTAACCGGTACTGTAGTCCGGTGGCACGTTGTGAACAAATTTTGGTTATCATTTCCCCGCCCGCCTCCATCAGGGCGGCGACCATCGCAACAAGGAACAGTAGCAAGGAAGCCGGCACTGAACAAAATAACTTCGGTGAGCAAACCAATCTTGCTCCCCATCAAAAGGGCTTCCTAGACAATTAAAATGCAAAGGAAATGATGCGGCATCCAGTCAATGCACCACTCCATTGGTTCTATGCCAGTTTCTAGGCAACTCCTTGCCAGCTGACCAAACTCCCGTACCGACAAAGGCATTTAGGGCGTTTAGCATCTGAACCAAACTCAACCCGAAATCTGCTTTTCATTCGGCAGGAAGCTGCGTCTTACAGCCTCTATTTATATACATGCACGATTGTGAAACGTAGAGCCAAGCCAGAAGCCTGTCGTTGAAGAAGGAAAATCAGACGGTCTACATAACAAATAGGGCCTGGGCGGAGCTGCTCACTCTCACCGAGCAGATAGTAGAGGTGGAAGGCTTGTTTCACCACCTTCAACAATTATTCAAAACAGTTGGAGGACAGAAGAAGGAAGTGCCAAGTTCCACCAAAAACAGGTCCCTAGCTGCCCAACCACAAGACCATAGAAAGCTGTCTGGGATAGCTACGAGCTTCTCTTGGCTCAAGGCCAGAAGGGCCTCCTCCTGGGGAAAAAGTAGTTTGGGACTCATGAAACTTGGTGTGGCTACTAGGAGCAAGAATGCTACTAGGGGCTCGTGGCATCGCTACTAGGAGCAAGGACGCTACTAGGTGCTCCTGGCCTTACTACTAGGAAAAAGAAGCTATTAGAAACAAGCATTCAATAGAATTAGAACTAAACTAATCTAAATGTACTCGGTCTCTCCTGTGGGTGTCGCTTGAAGCCCGCTTTCAAGCTCCTCACGGAGTGCACTGTGAAAGGAACAGGAGCAAACATACATGCGCTGAGTGTCTCCACCTGCTCTTTGCCTACATGTTGCTCTGAGAAACCCTCCTGGTCAAGGCTTTCTGTTGCTCCCATACATGGAATAGTTCTCACAAAAGCTATTCCCAAACATCGACGCCATCCTGGACACGTTGCTTGGCTGCTCGCAGCTGCTGGTCCTTGATGTGCACCTAGGGGTACTCTGCCATTTTACCGCAATCACCCTTGAGTTTGCAAAAAAATGCAGCTGAGCATTGCAGTTCGTGCCTCCTGTTCCTTCTTCTTCAAAAGGGCAATGGACCGCTCCTTCTCCCGCTGCTTCTCAAGAACAACCTGAAACATGCCCACTGGTTCTAATGGAATTGTCAGGTATCTGAACCCAACTTCTTGACCTTCCCTCACTTGACATTTTGGGGCTCTTTGGCCAAGCATGTCAATACCTCGAAGAAAATGCAAGCACAAAGCTGGCAACACAGGTTTGCCTTTGCATGGTGCTCCTGCCAAACCAAGGCAAGCAAGTCTCTGGTCAATGGTCATCTCACAATTATAGTGTACATAGGACTTGGTGGATCAAGTGGGCAAGGTCATGAGTTTAACACGTAGCATAAACGGTCTTGGAGTTCTAAGTCTGCAAGCAGCCTGTCAGTTAGAAAGTTAAAATATGCTGACCTTGACAAACCACCGTGTCCTCGTCCCGCTTCGAAAGCAGTTCAGTGTTCGCTTCCTTCATCTCGAACTCTTGCCTGGCCAGGACAGTCGAACCAACAAGTGGCAGCATGTTTTGCACTTGGCACAGCAGGAACATCCAGGCATGGATTCATTCTGCTCTTCTTGAGCACCAGGTCAACTCTACATACTTGGCTCAGGAATCTGGGGAAGCACGGACTGGTTGCTCTTTCTACTTCTCGAAGCTATTCACACACAACAGCAGCAGTTCTGCCAAGAACCCCGCTTTCTAAGCGCATCCTCCAAGGCATTGACCTGGGTGACAACAAGGAAAAAGAACAAGAAACAAGAAATACTAGCAATGGCCTCGAACCTAATACCAATGGCCTCCAACCTAATAGCGATAGCCTCCAACCTAATAGCAATGGCCTCCAACCTAATAGCGATGGCCTCCGACCGAATAGCGATGGCCTCCAACCTATATAATAGCGATGGCCTCCAACCTAATAGCGATGGCCTGCCCCCAACTAGCCAAATTGGAAACAAGAAATGCTACGAGATCATGCGAAGGATCTGCAGGGATGCACTCGCAAGCTAGGTCTCCTTCTGTTGACGAACACCCATCAAGTTGGGAGAGGCATTCACATGTTGGGCATTGCAACGGATTTCCTGCTGAACTCTGAGCGCCAGCTAGCACATGCTACTCTTCCCGCTCATGATCTCTGTCCAATGTTCAAGCCCCCGGAAAAATTGTAGTGGCGCTAATCCAGATTCATGGATTTGCGCATTGGCAGATTCGACAGAACGACGTCGCTTGAAACGATGAAAGCCGATGAAAGGCAAACTGCGGTCTCCCCGCTTTGCACGCCCAGCCTCCCGTCGGTGTCGCTCGACCACACTCTGCCACTGTTCGGTTTGTCCGGTGTGACGGCCTCCGGTCCACCAAACACAATGCCAAGAGTACAGAACACAAGCCATTTTCCAAAGGCTCTTTGACAGCAAAAGCAAGGCATCAAACAAATACAAAACAATTGTCATTACGCAAAGGAAGTCGTGTGCAATACCCAGGCTACAGCCTTCCAGCTCCATCACCAGGCTAGAAAGTCGTTCTTTCTCTGCCTCCAGTGCCCGGCCGAACCGCTGAAAGCACCAAACGCACCCCAAACGGCTTAAGACGCTTCTCTTTTTTAGCCCGCTCGCTCTACCCCCCTCCCTACTTGCAGTATATGTACTAAGGACCTGAGGTAGCTAGTAGCTACAAGTAAACTACTACCTATGGACGCAGGATAGCTCACGCTTCTTCAAGGAAGCTCCCCTGCAGGGGGGAGCTTCCTTGAAGAAGCGCTCGCACTATTCATTTGGTTCCTAGAATTTTAGGGAAACTTAACAGGCCGACCTGGCATCGTCTCACTTCATTTTGCCACCGCTCAGCCATCTTCTCCGCATCCTCACGTGGAGGTGGCCGTCAATTTGTCGATCTCCGGAATCGTCCCAAAAAAAACACATAGTGAGGGGCCAGTGAGGGGTTGTTGGCCTGTTGCTTCTTCTCAGCCGCCAGAGCTGATGCTTGTCTTTCCTTTACGTACTGCTGCACCTCAGCGGAACATGATAGTCTGAAGGATTCACAGTCACAACCAAAGGAAGCACCAAGACTCCAGTGTCTCTCAACTGTAAGCTTCCAGCGCGTTCGATCTTTTGACTCATTTCCAACCTCTGATTCTACTCCGACAGTGAGTGGAAGAATAAAGTGGAGGAAACACAAATGGTGCAACATCAAGCTCTGCACTCTTGTTCGTCCATCATGGTCCTCACAGCTGAAATCAAGCGGAAGAAACTCGGGTGAGAGAGAGTAGATGTCTGTTTTCATGACAAAAAGAGCTCAAGCCAGTGAACTACCTCAATCCAGTTCAAGCTGAATGCAAGAGTATCCTGGTCTGGCTTTTTTGACTTGACACCCCCTTGTCCTCATCTGCTCAAGCTTCTCTCCACGTTGAATACCTCAAATCGAGCCACACACTTCGGTCGCTCGTTCTCCTGTGTCCCTACTCACATGTTCTGTGCTTCAACTCAAATCCAGAACTATGCAACTGGTGGCAGCAATCAAGCAGCTCCGAGTTGCAGCTGATCTGCAATCTCTACAGACAGTGCATATACATCAATCAAAAAGCAAACCTGTCAAATCATGTGACCGCTCAGGCGCCCATGTGAGCTCGCCAACACATCATTGAAAGTTTAGCAACTTGATGTATTCAAGGTTTCTGGAAAATGTTGACAACAGATCTTTTGGGCAATCGCACATGTCATTTCCAAGTCGTCACTTCTCGTCATGGCTTCATCCAAAGATCTGCACCAAACAAACTGAAAAGCCGGCCCACATGCAAATGCAGTCTCCAAACTCTTTGATCTTTATAACAAGCACAGGCACCAGAGATCTCTAAACTGGGCGACAGCTCTTTGATGCTCTTTGCTCTCTTATGGCGTTTTATTCTCCAATTTCCTGCAATCTGTGCAAATCTGATCAGCATTCAACAATTCATGACAGGAAAGTTTGCCAGCAAAGCACTCTTCCCCTGACATTCCTCTGTCCTGCTGGACCCCATCTGTAGAGGAATCACCAGCACCCAACACTTTGACTCGACCAGTCGGTCCTCTGCAAGCTTGTTAGCCGACTTTGGGCTGCATCACGGGTTCGCAGCAGCTCCTGATGGTTCCGGAAGGAGAAAGTGCATCGAGAAAGTCATGCTGAGTGGTGTGCTAGACAGGTTCCTATTTTGGGTGAAGAAGCAACTATCTTGCAGATAGCCAGATAGCTGCTTTCTTGCAAATCTATATAGGGTATCTACAATATGGTGCGACTGATACTAGCAGTGCTACTCTCCTCTTTAGATAGGCATGGATATCAGCAAAAGAACTGAACAGTTGGTGCGAGAGTGTTTGGCTGGAACTGAGAGGTCACAATGCAACTGCGACTAGGACATACTCAGGGAGTGTGACTTGAGCCGGATAACATAGACATCTACGGCATAAGATATGTGGTTCTTTGAGAAAACTGTTCACCAACAAAAACAACTTGCTGCCACAAAAATGATGCACTGCCATCTCAAATCTCAAAGCCTGAGCAGTTTGTCTGGCAAATCCATGCATTCAAGCTCTCCTCTCTCTCAGCGTTCCATTGATAATCCAGCCGGTTGTGGGCCGCCTCCACACGCCCCTTACACTTGGATGACAATTGTCTTCTACAAACAGGTGGTTTTCCACTTCCGTGATGATTTTAAGGAGTGTACAGTGACCCCCACATGGAAAAGACTAGGGGCCTTCAAAAAGCGTCTAGGTTAGCACCGGAAGCATCCAAGCCGGTGGTGAGAGGAACAGTCCATGCACTGCTATGCCATATCCACTGGATGGCAGTTAGGGTTACTAAACGGAACAAGTCATAGACGTTCAAAAAACGCCTGGTCGTGTTCGGTGTGCAAAAGCACGACTGGAAAGGCACCTGGAGCTGCTCCAATTGAGTAGCCTAGGGAGATCCAAGCAAAAAAGTGGGTGGATCCTATTCTGGAATTCTGGATGTCTACTTTCGACCCACTCCCTTAGGGCCCTTGGAGTACCATAGATCCACAAACGTCCATCTACTTCTCCAACAAATGAGGCTTTACAAACTCTGCAACAACACTCATAGTGTTGATTGGCTTGTCAAGAAGTCCAAGTCTCAGCTGTAGTGCACACCACTTTTTTAACTCTATTGAAATAAAAGACAACAAGAGGCTTCAAATCTGGAAGAGAAAGGAGCAAAGTAGTGCTCCATATTGAGGTGAGAATTGAAAAATTGAACTGAAAACAAAGCTTTGCTGCACTTTGGGATCTTAGAGGCTGATTCTCGGCCCACTTCTAATTGATTTGTTCGTGAAACAGACCCCGGATTGGACCGACGCATTTCTCCAAGTCAAACCCTGCCGACCTAAAGCTGGGCTATGGCCTGTTGATGCCACTGACCGTTTTAGGGTGCACAATTGTGAGCAAGGACGTAACCATGGAAGGAAAGAAACTGCAGTGCTCGGCACCACGCCATCAACTCTGACTCCTTTCTGGAGTTGCTAAGGGCTTCCTGAAGGACCTACAGGGCAGAAACCACGCGTATCACAATCTAACAAATTGAGAACACATTACCTTTCGGATTATCATTAGTGTTATCTTCATTGTTATTGTTATTGTACATTATCATCGCTTGATTATCAATCTAGAATTTAGACATTGATAATGTTGATGCATTACCGTTCTCCTGGAGCAAGTTTCTGAAAAATATCCTGCAGATGTGCAGCTATGTAGCTTGAATTTACGGCTTCAGCCGGCTTCCTCTGCCTGTGTTTACGCTTCGATTGGGCTTCCAAGTTCCAAGCTCTGTGCTCCCTACATCCAACATCGTTCGACCCGGGACAGCCTGCACCTCCTGCACGAGGACAGCCTGGCTCAAGCACGAGTTACTCCATGCTGCAGGCCTTCAGTTCTAGAGACATCCCATTTCTTCGATTCGACAGCCTTGCCGTCCTCCTTCTGCACATCCTCTTTGCGTAAGGCCTGCCAAGTTGATTCTGCAGAGCTGAACTCAATCTAGAAGATCAAGAGAATTATATGAGCATTGCAAGCTCTTAAACACACTGCTCAAGCCTCCAACTCTTCCCGAAGGCTCTTGATCTCCACATCACGCCTAGTCTCAGCCCACAACAATCTATGCTTGCAGTACAGTGATCCCTCGGCACTGGATAACCCACACTATCTCAGATCCACACTTTGACAGCTGATGCTGGTTCTCCAACTCCACCTATCAGCCACTTTCAGCTGATCTTTGCTGGAGCGGTCCCGTGCCCACCCAGCCAGATGCAAAAAGGACTCCCCAGAGAACCGTAAATAGTGGAACACACACTTCATGCTAGATGGTGCAGATTTCCTATAGAGATGACCTCTTTCAATTTATCATCTATTTCAGAACCCGCCATAGCCGTCGTCTAAGTCTCCGTGAGACAGTTCAAGCCAACTGCGACCACTCTGATGAGCATGAGGGAAATGTAGCAAATATGATGACTTGCGCCGCATCAATGTACAAATGCACGGAATATGCAAATCATCATGGCCATTGCGACCCTATCATTCGCCTCTAATCCATGCCAGTGCTTTGAATGCCATGCGCCCGATCTCGGAAATCAGCGCCTGGGAGGCCTGCTCCAACAAGCACCTCCGTTGCTCCTGGCGCCACGACCAGTGCAAGGATATTCTTGAAATTCTAGACCAAAAACGATAAATCTAAAACCAACTCAAACCCAGACCAGTGCCTGCTAGGTGCAGGTTCTCGAGCTAGTTTTTAGGAGACAGCGTCATATTCATGTATATCCGAAAACACGTCAAGGATGCTGAACAACAGCTGCTGCTTTACTCTGTGCAATACCTGACGTACATGTGGAAAACCAGGTTACGGCTTGACTACAGTAATCCATCCTCCAAGGCAGCAGCATGTTCCTGCTCCTGCGGCAAAAATGACCAACGACAGGCGACACCCTAAGGAAACTGTGGGGCATCATCATTTTCCGACTCAGGAACACGGCCTATAGTACAGTGCTTGGCCCCTTAAAAGCATTTGGGCCTGTTCTTGCTGTTCTTTGACAAAAATCCAACAATCTGCCTACATGCTGTTGGCAACTTCTGAAACCTACGCTTCTAATCTAAACGCCGGCGCGGCCAGTCATCCCACTCCCCAGCGACAGTGGCAAGGACTCACGCAACGCATTCCATCGAGAACAAGCAAAACTGCATGGCACAGCGACATCACAGACGTAATGTGGCCACGCGGTGTGCAACAGACTAAATACAACAGTGTAACACCAAGCCTCGTGGACACTGCCGATCTTCCTGCTCCCCAGCAACACGCTGAATTTACACCAATTGGCCATTTCTATGACAGTTAGTTATACACTTTCACCTGTGTTTTGGGCGACAGTTACACACTTTCGCAACCTCCACCTTCTTTTTCGGCGACAGCTACACGCTTTAAACCTCCACCTTGGTTTTCGACAGCAGTTGTACACTTTAGCAACCTCCACCCCCGCTTTCGACAACAGTTACACACTTTGGCAACCTCCACCGGACCGTCGTTTTCGGCGACACGCTTGAGCAACCTCCACCTTTGTTTTTGGCGACAATTACACACTTTGGCTGCCAGGCTTAGTTTTCGACGGCAGTTACACACCTTCGCGATCTCTACCTTCATTTTCAGCAGGAGTTACACAGATTCACCACCTCCACCTTCGTTTTCGACGACAGGCACCTTCCGCCTTCGGCAACGAAATTCGCATTTCGCCTCACATTTGAGCGCTGGACGCGCAAGATCTCCGCAGGGGGGTCACCGTGCTAACGCAAAATTTGCATTTCGCCTCACGTGTGGGCACTCGACACGCCCAATGTCCGCAAAAGGCTCATCCAGCACAGCTGGATTCGCAATCTGTTTCACGTTTGGGCACTCGACAGGCATGATCTCCGCAAAGGGTTCATCCAGCACAGCTGGCATGTGCATTTTGCCTCACATTTGAGCACACCGCAAAGGGTTCATCCAGCCAGCGAAGAGCAGAGATGTGTCACGCACGAAGCAAGACCCAACATATGCATGACTCCGTGCTAACATATGTTTACTTTTGCATAAGTGTTTACTGAAGCCAGACCCCAGCGAAAGTCATACTTGATATCGCATATGACCTTACTTAAGCAAGACCCCAGCAAAAGTTATTATACTTGACTTTGCATACCGCTTTACTTAAGCAACACCTCAGCGAAAGTGATACTTCATTTTGCATATGACTTTGCTTAAGCAAGACCTCAGCGCATGTTGCCCAAGCAAGATCCCTGCATCCCTGCCAAGCAAGATCCCAGCACCAACAGCAACTCACTCAAGCAAGATCCCAGCACGAAAGCAATGCTAGCGTAGCAGCAGCTCTACACAACCATACCTGCAAGCTGCAGATGTACTTGTAGCATACCTACTGTAGCATACCTGCAACTGCAGCTTTACAAGTCGCAAATGTATTACCACCTCCGTGAAGCTCTAGGGCTCTAGAAAACCACAGCTGCAGCTTCTGCAGAAGTACTTATAGCATACATACGCATGCAGCTATATAAGTCGCAAATGTATTGATGCAAATATGTTACGCAAGAGATTTCTACAGAAGAACCCTTCGCAACGCTCCCTGGAAAAAGAGCGAAAGGTCTGTTGGGTAGTGTCACCATGACAAGGACATGCCGGACACGACTTTTTTCTCTCCAACACCTTGGCCACTTTTGCAAGCTCAAAGGTCTTGGTTGCCTTCACCAAAGTGGCAGATACATCCGAATCTCACCCTGTCAGAACTATAGAGACACCAAAATCGAATCTGTTCGACCAAAGCGACGAATCTGAGCGACTCCTTTTGTCGTTCTCTTCATCTATCAGTTCTTCTACCCTTCTGTGGTCAAAACTGCTTCTGTCAGAATCACCCGTACGTTGCACGCCTTCTGCCATAGTCGCTCGATCCGCTGCAAGACAGTTGGATCTTCCTCCCCCTTCATCAAGGAGTCTTCGGCCTCTACGATTCGGTCAATTGCGTCTATGACCGCACGGCAATTCCGGAGACAAACTGAGTCGGTAGTGATTTTCTATGTTTTCTGTACTGGCATCCAACGACTGCTCCCAGCCGCTTGTTTTGCTTCGCACTGTTTGGCGCGTAAATGCTCTTCTTGCTCCAAACCTGCTACACCACTCACTTCTAGCAGTTCGTCAGTGGTAAGATGAGACTCCTCAGCATTGCAATATCTCCTCAGCAACACAGGAAGACTGCCTCTTCACCGACAGCGCTGCTGTTCACGGCCAGCAAAGATCCTCTTTGACTACACCCATAGCCACTGCTTCCCCCGCCGGTGAAATCGATGGATCCGTCGCACAGGACTTTGTCTGCCATCGTGTGATCACCTTATTTGGCAAGGAGAAACCCAGCAAACGCAATTGAGCTCAGCCATGGGAAAACACCTGTGTTCAGTGCATGAACTTGCTCAGGTCAGCGCCCATGAAGTGCAACACCTCCAGCTGAGAGTCATCAAGACCCATTCTTAATGCGTCGTGGTCTGTGATCGGCTCTCCACAATGGTGTAGGGTGCAGGCACCGCGATTGTATTGGATTCCACTCCTGAAAGAACTGAACAAGCGAGCTTTTAGGATGCCCACACACCCGAAGCCCTGTGACAAATAAGCAAAAGCAGTCCCATTGGTGGTCGGAATTGCTTAGAAGCTGCTACGGCCCTGAGCACTATGGTCATTGACAAATTAACAGGGGGCGACTTCCATGGTCCCGTGGAAAAAGAAAAATCCAAACACACAGTTGGTTGAGGGCAGGTCAGCCCAATACATGTCTTCAATAAGACTTTACTTCATCTGCTGATCGAGCTAGAATACCTCGAATCGACTAGACTATACTTCGCCCTTCTCATCTGCAATCGGGCACTTGTTGAACCTTCCCATTCACTGCAAAGCATCGCCAGCAATGCGTGAGCTCCCATGTCGGAGCTTGCCGCCATAGCCTTGGTACTGCGTGGCCCAAAATTAAAGCTACCAGAACTTCGCCCTGACTGAGCTTCATGTCAACAAGTGGAGCGGGAAAAACTTTCTGGAAGGGCCCTCCAAGTGCGAAGAACAAATTGTCGGTCGACAAAAGAACAGTGGAAGCATGACACGCAGCTGAAACTGAGCATCTCGCATCATTTAAGCAGATCTGGTCGTTGCTGCTGCACTGGTGGTTCTGACCAAAGAACGTGTTGGAAAATATCAATGGAATACGCTTCTATAGCTGATATGTCTTTCGAGTAAGAAAGATTTATATATATTTATATAGCAAAGTGGTATGTACTCCATGCAACAACAAAAGCTACTGCAAACTCTATATAACTGTAGCAAAATCTGACAAGGATACAATAAGAAGAATCCTTTCTGACAGGGCTGAGTGGATGATTCCTCCCATCTTCCACAGAACCGTCTTTGAAAACATCGTGCAAGAAACCGCCCACAGGAAGGCCTGGATCCCAATGCGCCAACTTTTCAAGCCCCGTGGCCCCAGGACATGAGCTTCAGTCGTGTCTTGGAAAAGATCCTCGGTTGACCAAGTGCCAGGTGTATTGAAGATCTTTCTGCAAACCTTCCTGCAGAGATCCGAAGAGAATGCAAAAAGCAAAGATGGAAGTAAAAGGTTAGTCGACTTACATGAAATGGGGAAACATGAAGCTGCAGAAGTGATCAAATATCCTAATCAGTAATATGACGTTTCACAGCGAGGCACTTTGGACCACTGGCTATTCTTGGCAAAAATGACACCGCCGTTGATCCTGCCAGGGATGAACGGTGGCTTCAAACCCAAAGGGTTCAGTGTTCTCAAAGTCTTGTACAATGCCTCCAAAATATCATGACCCTGGACAACACACACAAATTGCTGACTTCTCAAGCAAGCCCTACTCGTTTTATGCCTTCATTGGATGGAGGACTCGTTGAAGCAGGGTTCCCTCCAGCCTTTTTGCGCCATTCGCAAGCCAGTCTTCATTGGTCAGGAAGACATCTCCTCATTGCGAGTCCATGGGGCCATGGACACGAGGCCCTTGATGGCCACAACTCACTGGGCTTAGCATGCTTGGCATCGTCTGCTGAACACAAAAACAGACTTCCATTCCTACCCTCTGGAGCCCACGGAGTTCTCGCCAAAGAGTCGATGGTGGGTGGTCAGTTGGTCAGCCATCGCTGCGAGAATGTCATGCTCGTGCCGTACCAAAGCAGCATCCGCATCCTCAGCTCAGCTGTGCCACATGTCATGAAAGCTGAGTCCTGTCCTGTCTTCATACCCTTCATCAACAAAGCACAGCAAGAAGCATATCCCTCATTGATCTGCTTAGTTTATTGGCAACTTTTGTGAGCCCCTGGCCAGCATCATCACATAGCTGAAGTTCTGTGAGCTTTTGAGGTAATCCTGCTTTGCCAGCCAGACAGGAGAGAACCCTTGTCCACCAACCAACTCTGGATGAAACAAAAACACATCGTCTTCTTGATAAATCCGATCAAATGTTCTTTCCTCTCCCTCCATTCTGCTTCTGTGCCAGCAGTCCTCCAACATACGATGCTTCTCCCAGTTGAAGTTCTCTCGCTCGTTCTTCTGGGTGCAGTCCTCCATGTTATACCAATTGGTGAGTTCCATGACAGGAAACTGGTGATGATACCGTGCTACAAACCACGTGACCCATTTGGTTCGAGTCATCCAAGCATCCCTTTGAAAGTTACTTACTGAAAAGCCACGTGGATTGGCAATATCAGCTCGAATGGATTCCAGAAACACCAGTTGAGCCACTCAGTGACTGCAGCTTCGGCCGCCTTCTCGGAAAGCTCACCGCACTGCTGCCGCTGCCACTCTAAGAGCTGAGGTTGGCTCGGGAGCCACCTGTGTCTGTAGGGCCATGTTTTCCAGACCAATCAGCGACACTGTAGGAACTCTTGTCCAGGTGAGAGCTGTCTTTACAACAACTACTTTACACACTAGCCAAAAGAAGAAACATCACATCAAATAGGCAAATATTGCAATCACCTTCACCAACCAAGCTTGTATTGCACTTCTGCGCACCTGATAACCATGGCATGACCATAGCGGCGCACGTGAAAGCGGTTAGTGGCCAAAATGGACCGCAGCCAACGGGGCCGGCTTTGTAATGTGCCCCACAAGGGTCCTAGGCAAGCGGCTACTTGAACGCAACTATAAAATACGACTCATCAGCCAAAGGCACTTGATGTTCTGACTGGGACTTTGCCAAGAGCGGCATTCAGACCGCTGTTGGTTGAAGTGGGGGAATTTTTGAACAATCTACCAAAAAAGCGGACAGACCTGCTCCTGGGTTGAGAACGCCACTCACTCAACCTGGCGTCATCTAAAATAAACCTTCCACTGGTCGATCAAAGCCAAGACCAAGCAACCAGCTTCCATGAATACTGGCTGCACGACGAGAATGCCTCCGCCATCCTGAAGCTGCATCCATGCAAATGTCGTTTATCCCTTTCTTTGTTTGGTCGCTTTCGACAGTCGCTAGATGCTTGCACAGTCTGCGCCCCAGTGTGGTTGGCACAGTCCTTGTCCCTTCCATCTTCGACCAAAACATCCTTCTTCAGAAGCCAGGGAGGCTGATGCTCTGCAAGAGGCAGTCCAGCACTGCCAGCAAAGGGCAGTTCCACACTCCCAGCATTCCGAATGTAGCCCGGATCAGCAAGCAAAGACCCCACATGCCTAGGCAAATACAGCTGAGCAAATCCGCAAATTATCTTGCTGAACCAGCGAAAAAATGCTGGAAGAGCTCACATGGTGCTTCCAAGCAACCTCGGGCCGTCACAATGGGAGGGTCTCGCCAGGTTCAAGTTCACACCTCAGGGCTAGCCAAAGCCACTTGAAAGAGCGGCTGCAGTCACACTGAGACCGAAAAGCAGTAGCAATGTCTCACCTTCGGCATCCGGAGGACGACTGGGAATGCTCAAGACCGAACGCGGACTGCCATCCTGCAACAGGCAGTGGAAGCATTTACCCAAGAGGGCACATCCTAGAACTGTGACTGGTCCATTTAACGGCAGGGTGTACTGCTTCTCCTGGGACGCTCGAGCGCTTTAGGTTGGATGAGGAAGACTTTGGGAAAGGTCAGAGAGTTCGGAGACTTTATAAAGGAATCTCAACAAGTCTCGGGGTCCTTGTACCAAACGCAGCCATGGCAAGTGGTGTCCAGCACGTGGTCTGTGAAGTGTGCGATGGCTGCTCGCTCATCATCTGCGATTGTAGCATGGTACAGCTCCTGCTGAGGCTTGGTGGCGGGTTCCAAGAGCTAACTAGCAAGAAAGACCTGCAAGCAAATCCTTTTGAGCTGCAAGCAAAGTTCTTGCAAGCAGGAAATCCAAAAAAGTGCCTGTCATGAAGAATAGGAAAAAGGGTGAAAACATGGAGACGTAGGCCCCGTCTATGTCCTTGTGGTTGTGCTGGAAAGCCGCTGACTCATTGCACGCCGGCCACTGCTTTCGAAAGCTGAGCAAGTCAGCTGGATCCGACGGGGCATCGTTGAAATGTTGCGCTGTCTCCTGCTGAGGATTCTTGTGATCAGCAACAACCCTTTGGCACCAAACCCAAAGCACTCGCGAGGAGGACATCTGATCCCAAAAACGTCATCATGAAGGAGAGTCAACCCAGAACTCACTTGCGCTTGCTTCTATCACTTGCGCACAAAGACTTGCAGCGAGATGAGGGACATTGGGGGTGCCTAAGGTTGGAGTGGCTCCTTCCTACTCTAAATGTTACCCACAGGTGGCCCACAAAAGGTGCTCCTCCTTGGTCCTCTACCACCATTCGGCGCCCACAAAAATTGGTGTCATTTATGATGACGTCTACTCACAAGTGAGTCGTTGGCAGTGCACAAGCGAGTGCTGTACCCAACAAACCTCGCTCCAAACTCGATGTATACTACAAAACAGGATATCAAACTCAAACTCGTTAGAATTGAATATAATATCTGACAGAACGTTTACACAGGTCTTCCTCCCAGGGATAAACCGTCCAAGCACGTGCTGAAAGTGCCACCAGCATGGCAAAATCGCTGCTCATCGTTTTGTCTCCTGGCAACAGGGTGGAAGCACTCAAGAATAGCAAGCTATGTTGTCAAGAAAACTGTTTCCTGGTATGTAAAGCTTGCTTGCTATCAAATAAACTCTCTTCCCCAACAGTTGTGGACCTGTTGTGTATCTGAGTTCTTCCATGTACAAACACATAGTTGTTTGTCATAGATAATACTTCAGCTAGACTTCCAACAACACCATCAAGTTCAGAGTGGATCAGCTTTCTTTTGCAAAAATCTCTAACAGTTGCAAGTGTTGTTCACAAAAAGCAATGGCAGCAAATGATATACACATATTTGTTCGCTGCACCAAGCGTGGCACCTTCTTTGGCACTCAACCTTTGCCAGTCAATCCGCAAGATGTTCTGAGGCTTGAAGGCGTCCAGGATAGCTTCTGATCGAAAATAGGAGCCACCACAAAGCCCAAAGTGCGTCCAGGAGATGCTGAAGCAGGGGTCCCTCTCACGCCCCAGCCCTTCCTACAGAAAACATCCAAGGCCAAGACATGCCGGTAAAAACAACCCTGCACCCCTGGCCGTAGATGCGCAAGAATGACCCAGTTTAGTGGGAGATCAGTCTTCTATTTTCTGTCCATTTCTTCTACCCATCAGCACACATGAGGGATTAAAGGTTTCTCTATCCGGATTGTCCCTGGATTGCCTCAAGCAGCTGCCAACATGATATATCTATCGGTATCATTGATACAGGAGAAACTGATTTCTAGAAAGACCCCCTCTCTCTCTTGGCAAGGCCGTAGGCATTCTACCCCCATCTGCAATTTCAAACAGGCGTCCAAGTAATCTTTGGTCTCGGCACTCATCCTTGGGTTGAAGTTGTCGTAAACACCACCGGCCTGCAAATGCACAAAAGAATTCCAAGGCAAAACTTCCGGACTCAAAATGTACTGGGACCAAATGAGTATGAGTAGGGAGCACCAGCCACTTAATCCCAAGTCACTAGAACCTTGTATATGTATATATATATACTTGATGCCATCAAATTTGATGCCTCCTGACTTGCAGGCATAACAAAACAAAAGTTGTTTTTCACCTCACTTCTTGCAGTCAATCAGGTGTCTAGCGTACGTCCGGCTACTGCTGAGGCTGCGACGTCATGCTTTGGATCAATGTGATGCCGTCGAGTAATCTTGACATCAGGCTCTAAATAGATCACGTACCTTGGCACGTAGGTTGGTGTAAATGCACGTCAAAGCAAGTGCTCCCAAGAAAGAAGCGTAACAAGGATGATGAAGTGGTTCGATTCGGCAAAGTCTTTTGGGTATCTTGTTTTCTTCCGTTCAATGTGTAACTTTCTTCAATCAAGCCACTCGCTTCTCAGGATTTCAGTTGCATCTCGCATTCGTGCAAACCAGGAGTGGGGATTCCAGCGGCTGTTTTCACCCGGAGCTCGTTGGAAAATACAGTTGAACCTTGCTTCAGGACACAAAACAAGAACATTCTCACCGGTCCCCGCCGCCCCGGCTTTTGGTTGTGGCATGCAGCGAAGGTTAAGGAGAAGCAATCAGTCACCGAATCACATCACTTACTTACCATACTGACCTCCAGCAACAAGTATTTACACAATCCACCCATCAACCATTGACGAGAATGCTGGCCTTTGCATCCGACACAAAGGACCAAAGTCAATGGATCCACCATCCTGCAGCATGTAGATCGGAGCCTCAGGATAAAAGTGCCTCGCAGACTTCAGCACTTCCACCACACCCTGCACCTGATCGTGCACCGGAAAGTAGAAGCCAAAGCGCCTCACCGGCAGAACTCCTTGGGCCAGGGCTGCTGAGCGTGCACTGCGTGCGTCCGCCAAGTAGCTTGTTCTCGCCACTTTGCTGTACTTGCTCTTCAAGCACTCGTGTGGATCAGAGCCAGGCTTCATGGGCTTGTGATGCACACGCACGTTGGAACAATGGAAACTCTTCGGACACTGAAAGCTCGTTTGGTAGTTCCACACACACTTATCGATCTGGAGAGCAGTCCAATTCTGCCCTGCTTCCAGCATTTTCTGCTGTAGAATTCTCTGCCTCTTGTAGAAAAGCGTGTGGAAGAAGCCTTGTCCACACTCACCTCCCACATAGTATCCGCCACAGGGTTTCCAACCTTCCTTCGCCCATCCAGTAAGCTCTGAGTAGTCGGCTTCTTGGGCAAAGTCTTCAGCTGCCTGACACGGAATCAGGCAGGCAAGTTGCTGCTAACTGCTGAAGGGTCAAACAAAAGTGGCTGCAGTTTCCTGTTTGGACTTGTATGGTCTGTAAGGCCTTTCAGGCCCATGGAAAATACCCGTGAGGTGTAGAGTTGTTCCAACAAATTGCAGGCTGTGTCAAGAAACATGGCCACATGGGCTTGGCTCAAAAACCGGGGCCATGCTCGCCACTACCACCGAAGTATATATTTAGTTTGGGGGGGGACACGGAGTTTCGAGCCGCGCCCACTCCTTTGATGTTGCCACAGTCGTCCGCACGTCCAACCTTCAAAAGAAGTCGATGAGGCTTCAGAGCAAAAAAACCAACGTTGAGAGCTTCGCCAAGGCCCCCATTTGTGGTCAAGAAGTTACCTGAGAAAGGATGGCTTGTTGACAAATGACTCCAAAAGTCTCATTTGTGCGTCTCAAATCATGATTTGCTGAGGCCTGCAGAAGCACAGCGCAGAATGGGCAATATGTCACCTTGAAATTCAATGTCATTGTCAAAGTATGCCACAGCATCGTAGTCGTCAAGTCCTTCAAAACGAGTCTAGAAACCTTTCACTCAAACACTGCTTCAGGAATTCCATAGAGCTCGGTAGTACTACTGCCTCCAATGTTCTCCAATGTTGAAAAAGGACACTCCGCATCACCAAAGAACAAACACTAGTAACACTAGTGCTGCTTCTTTTGCACCTCGCTTTCTGAAATTTCTTCCCATCTCCCAGGTGTCCCAGGTCTCCTAAGGCATGAAGACGGATGAGATCCTTTCGCCACACCAGTTCTCGCGCTTTGTGTACTTCATTCTCGGAGGTAAGGCCCACTCGACAACATGTACCTGAACACCTGCAAAAAGGCTGATCATGTGTACTGTATACTGTATATATACACAACTCTCACGATCCAAGCAAAACAAATGCTTCGACAGTCTAAATGTCAAATCCAAAACCATCAAGTCGGGAGGAATTGATAATTCTCAAAGACAGGCAGCTCATCAGGGTTTTTTACATCAGCTATGATTGGGAATCGCACCTTCCTTCTGAAACAACTTGTGCGCAGACAGATTGATGTCTTGGGCGTCACGTTGAGTCATCAGTATCAAAATGTCTGCCTCAGCAAAAAACACATCATCTTGTGGATGCAGGACATGAGGCCACAGCTTCCTATCCTATCACAACAAAATCTGTGAGCTCATCTAGTCCAACCAACACCCACCGCAGCATGCAGTGGTCTCACCAAGCCCTGCCTTGTTGGCCAAGTTTGCTGCCGCTTTGGCTGATTCCAGAAATGGGACTGCTTCCAACCCCATCTTCCCAACGAAAGAGAATACCAAGGCATACCTGCCTGCAGCCATGGTGGCCGCACAAGCCTCAACATCAGCGCAGGCAACGTTCTTCTGGCCATCATTGCAGCAATCCGAACAATGTTGCCTTTCAGGATCCTCTCGCTGTGGCTGAACATTGGGCATCTGCTGGACTAGCCCGTCTGACGAGATTTCATGCCGAAGAAGAGTTGGTCGATGATGATGTCCAGTTTCAATTGATTTGGCCAGCTGCAGGTAGATGCAAATCAACAAAAAGAGCTGTTGGAAGGACCACGACCACATCTCTTCCTGCATTCACAAACTGAAGGACTCTAACATGTCACCCCCGTTGGCAGAAGTGTCACTCAACACAAAATTACATGCCTGGTACAAATATCAGGTCCTGAAATGAACATGAAAGGGAAGGCACCTGAAGGCTGCCAACCGAAGACCTAACTTAAAGCTGAGGCCATGCCTTCGAGCAAAAGGCCCTGGAATATGTAAGCTCACAGACTCGTGCAGATAGGTCAAGCTGGCTCGGCAAGTGGTCTCAAAAGGAAAATCAATCCTTCTGGATCTGACCCTTCGCACGAGCTCACACACTAACGACCATGACTGTGAACCACGCCGGAAAAGTAGATCTCCACAAAAACAATCTAGGACGAAACTCGAGACCACTCTCAAACCATGGAAAGTTACGTATCAAAAGTGTAAAGAATGAAGTTCCAAAAGTGCAAATCCCGGATTCCCGGATGGAGTTGAAGAATATTCTGGTCCGTCGATGCTCGATGTTGGGAGCCTTCTGTTCTCGATCCGAAGGCATGTGGTGGCCGATCTCTGCCAAGTGCTTCGTCTCAGCCTGTCAGTTGGAATGCCAAACGTTTGTGCAATAGAACTCAAAAACATGGTAAGACGCACCAAAACAGCCATCTGTGTGGAATCTGTTTACGGTATTCATAAACCCTGCGTGTTTTGGGGGACAAGGGTTTTGACAGCAACTATCTCATTAACAAAAGTCATCATCTTCAAGGCATATCAGCATACAAACAAACCTCATTATATACCCCACCCACCCACCCACCAAACCCCTCATCTTCCAACACACGTGTGCATGTAGCATCATTTTGAAGCACATCTAAACGACCGTCATTCATTACCCCCCACCCAAACTCTCACCCGAAAATATATATATATATATAACATCTTCCAACTCCGCATGTGGCATCATTTTAGTCCCGCAGACCCTACGCAAGAACATCTCCAAAACATGCACGAAAGTCCACGACCAAGTAACAACTCGTCTCCCAAGTGGCCTTGCGAGTATCTGGAAAAAGATGTGCCCGAAAGCTTGAGGCGATGACGGGACGAGACACCAAACATTGCGCTGCAGCAACGACACACACTCCCCAAACGAGGTGCAAGTTGGAGCTACTCTTGGGAATTTATATATTAGAAACAAGTGCATCGCTACTAGTAACAAGCCTTGCTAGTAGTAACAGGTGCCTTACTAGTAGTAACAGGTGCCTTACTAGTAGTAACAAGAAGTTATCTGCCTACTTTCGTGGACTCCTGCCTCCACAAATCTGGAGATGGAATGGCTGAGGTCATCCAGCCTCTTCTCCTGGCTTTAATCATACCCCTAAGCTTCAAGGTGGAGGCTCAAATCACCTTAAATTCTGACAATAAAGCTTGCTTGCGGTGTCCTGCACAACAATCCTGTCCATTCGCTGGGAAAGCTCTGCTGAAGCAGCATCTAACCTTCAACAGTTTTGCTGGCTGACAAATCATGTAAACCCAAATATCTGCCATATCATATACTGCTCTTTGAGGCCAGCGCTCCCGTGTTTGATCGCTAATGAAGGCATGAACCACCTTGCAAAACAGCTAAACCGTAGCAGTGCCCTCATTGTTCTCTCTTCTAAGAATAAAAAGCTTGAAACAGCTAAAGGGTGTTCCTACAGTAGCAGACTGGTGACTGGGCGAAAAGGAAAAAAATAAACAAACAAACAGGTTGCAGGATCGAAGATTCAATTGGGTTCTGCAGAAACCTTTCAACCAGCCAAACGTCCTGGGTTGTTGCCCATGGCAAAACACATTGTGCAATTCCACAAAACTGATTTCAGCATACAATCTGGGAAAATGGTCAATGTGCTATCTGCCTCATCAATGTGTCGATGCAGCTCTTGTATCTTTTGCCGCCATTCACAATCAGACCTCGCCCATTAAATGAGGTTGAAATTTGTTAGAACAGAAATGAACCTCTCAGCAGAACACAGGAAGCATGTGACATGTTCAATCTCAGAACAGACTGTTGAACGTCAGTCTTTGAAGATCCCACTGACGAAGCAGTTGAACAAGAAGTTTCTGGGACAATTGGTGCTCAATCAGCCTCGTTTCCTCCTTGGCATCAAGATCCTCGCATCCGAGCTTCTGCACTCCAGGTTCGCATGTCATCAAACTATTTGAGAAGTCTTAGTTTCAGTGTTTCAAACAAATGATGCTCCTTCTTCAAGACTGCCGCCATGCTGCGATGTTCCCTTACTCAGCCAGTGTACGCGTCTTCCATGTTGCAAAACAGTTGCCAATCGAATGCTCATCTTGACTGAAATATACAGTACTATTATGCATTTACATATTGATTAAGGTGAACATCCTTGCAATGTTTTCCGGACTGTTAAACAGGACGCTAAAAGTATGGATAATATGGATAAGCTTGATCGCAAGTTTTGCGGTCTCGAGCAAAAAGGCTGACTCGGCAAAACCCGCGTGATTGTATCTAGCATGGCCGATTATGATAATCAAGCTTCGGTGCAAATAGAAAAATATTTGGACAGCCATTGCATTCTGCCCCATGCCAAATCAAGAAGACAGTTGCCAAACACAAGTCAGCAACACAAGTCTATGAAGATAAATTAAAAAGCGCTGCTGAAGCAAGTGCTGAAGCGATCAAAAGTCAATGTTGCAAATCAAATCTTTTTCAAACAAGTGCAAAAGTTCGCAGTGTTCCATGAGGTGCAAGCGTTGGCGACTCTCATGTCATTTCCGGTGACTTTGTCAGTCCCAAATCAATCAGCAGCAATGAACTCCACGAACCTCAGTGGAGACGTGCACCTTGCATCACCAGCATTTGGACATGTGAAGATCTTTGAGGTCGCAGACTGACTGTAGGTTGCTTCAGCATCCTCCTCAAGAGCTTGAGATTCGTGCTGCCATTCTGGTTCACTCTGATTTCGAAGAATGGGCACAAAGCAAGAACCAAGTGCAGCAGAGTCACAAGGCCATTGAGCACATACTCAACCCCGTTTTCCAGCGTAAACATTACGTCGCTCCTGATTTGGCAACTTTATCATGGCAACACACCACACCCAAGGTACCCCCTCTACTGCACGTTGACTTGGAATGTGATGTGATGCAAACAAGTCTCTCTTCTGCCTTTAATGCGACTGAGCAAACCTCGCGAAATCAAATGTCTCAGTCAAGCCCCCGAGAAATCTCAGTTCAGGTGAAATTGACTTGGTACAGAAAAGTACTTGACTAATCAGCAGTGTCTTGTGGAATGGATTCATTGGTAAAGACTAAGAGCAACTTAAATGGTTCGGGATCCCTTTGCTGCGTTCAAAGTCTTCAAACTTGTCGGTTTAAGAAGTTCAGGTGCAGGTTTGCCTGTTGTGGAGTCTTAATCAAAGCATTCATTGGATATTGGATGAACCTGAGGGTTAAACATTAAACCATCGGCCACATCTTGCAAACATGGAACGAAAGCGCTTTCCTGACATATCGGCTCCTTTGCAGCCAAAGCACGTCTGAAAGCTTTATAAACAGTTTCTTGACTGGCACCAGCGCTGTGTCACCTTGTCAAAAGGGACTATGCTAAATCTCCACGAGACAGAAAAATGTCGCGATGCTGAACACTGCTGAATACATGGACAAGAATACAGTAACATTTTCTTTGGTTAAATGACCTTGATGTCTCCACCACCTTTGCAAATACCTGCAAATACTTCTCTTATTATGGTTTGAAAGAAAAGTGCAGGTTCAGGTGAGAAAAAGAATGTAAATACACATGTTGTACAGCAAACTTTAAACATAAAATAAATAGATATATATATATATACCAAAACATAATAGATCCTTTTATATGGGGGCTCATAATCTGTGGCCGTCCATGGTACTTTGTTTTGTGGCCATCCTCGCTCCTTGGCCAAGCTGCCACCACCTCGGACGACTCGCTTCACTTGCCCATCTTCGTCAGAGATCTCCAGGAACTCCCCCCGCCGATTCATGGTGATATTGCCTGACGAACCAAGTTCTCATATTGTGATATTCCACATGTACAGTAAGATTTCACAAAGTGTACACTTCACCAAAAAAAAAAACTACAAAAAAAAAAATTGCAAAATGTCAAAAGGCTCGGAACAAGAATGGAATGGCACAAGAACTGGCACTCGAGGCCACTCTGGACACCATCTGAGTTTTGTTCCCGGGCTGAATTCAAAACAAAGTTCCATTTCCCATGCCACAAAGCAGAGCAGGCAAGGAATTTGCGGCTAAGACTTTCGAGCCAAATCTGTCAAATTGTTTTTCCGTGAGGTTTGTCCCTTTTGACAATCTTGGTGCAAGCGCACAGCCTGGATTGTGTCCCAAGACGGAAGGTTGAATTTGTTGTCACATTTAAAAACGGCAGGAGGCTGCTGATAAGTTGTGAACAGCTGATGATAATTTTGACATTTGTGCTGATGAGGCTAAGGAAAACACGATTGATCCACCAACTTGTTGACCGCACAATGCAACCATTGGGTGTCATCAAGCTGCTGTGCACCTTTTTTTTTGCACGGGTAGGGCGTTGTGTGTGCCGAAAAGCACAAGTCAAGTGCGAGGAATGAGCCTGACAAGCACGACGCCTGCTTCCTCTGCATGTGTGCACCGGACTGTGGGGCTGTGCACATCAGCCTCTTGTGCTGACTGGTTTTGTCAGTGAGCACCCACAAGAGCTGCTTCTGTTCTTCTTGCTGCTCTGCGCTAATTTGGGTTGTTATGATGGGGAAATGGCCTGCCCTTTGGGTCTGGTTTGGTTCTGTTTTGGGTCGTTTTCTGGCTGTGCTGCATGTTTCCCACGAGTGTCTTGCTCTACTGCTTTGCTGCTGAGGGGCAGGTTGCTGATCGCTGTTGGGATACCATTCGGCCCAGGCGGACGGTGAGGGCCTTTCTTGGTTCCTTACAGTGGCCTGGGCACCATGCCCACACGGCGTCCGTCTCGTGAAAAAAAACCGTCACTCTCACGCCCTTGCAAATGAAATCTGCCTGCAAGAGGACCCAGAGGTCAGCCTCGCAAGCCTTCCAGTCACAGTAAACGATGTTCGTTTCCCGATGTATCTGGTCGCAGCCGCAGGATTCCTTCATGGCAACATGGACATGGGTCAGCAACCAACACTTTATTCGCTTTATTGTGACTGGACCACCATCATCATCGACCATCATGTCCTGGGGTGTCCCATTGCCAATCAGTCGAACATCCCATAGACTGCATTGTCTCGGCTTGGCCATTGCGATGCCAGACGAGTGCAAACCGGGTCCCAGGCAACTGAAGGCCGAGAAAAGGGTTCGACACAAATCTCATAAAACCTTAATCAGAGTCCAGTTTTGGCCATAAAACCCATGAAAAATCTGCTGCTGTGAACGGGACCTCCTCGGTACCGCATTTTTTTTCGCATTTTCATTGGAAAGTGTGGTTTGGCCCAAGTTACAGTCCTTGATTTTGGCCAGTCGCAAGGTCGAGCAACATGTTTCATGAAAACGCACACCAGCCTCATCCCTTTGTTTGAAGCTCTTTTTGCTGGCAAATCGAGATGTGGCGGCTGAGCGTGCTCAAGCAGCTCGCAAAGAGCTTGCTGAGTTGACGGCAAATGCTGAGGGAAAAGCTTTTGAAAGGAGGCCTGCGAAGTTGAGTAGAACGAGCAGTGCGCTGCGGCGGTGTCCTGCGAGCAGCTGCAAGTACATGATGGTGTGTGTTTTGGCTGGGTGTTCTTCTCCTGTGGCAGTTGACTTTGCGCTGGGTCGTGGCTGGCGTCGCAGAAGACCTGTGCCAGGTGGAGACGCAGAAGTGAAGAAAAGTTGACATCTAAGATTGAATCTGCGTTTGCGTCTCTACCTTTGTCCGGGTGGCTTTAGACTTGGACGCTGTCGCCCACTTCGAGCTTTGACCTCTTGTGTGCCCACAAATACACAATGGAGCACAGACTGCATAAGTGCATATCAACTCTCAACTGTTGCTGGGGTGACGTCTTCTCGTGCGCAGGTTGTGGCAGAGCTGCCTGGTGCATTTCCATTCACGCTTCTCAGAAATTCGGGAACGCTTGTGTCGTTGTGTGCAAGGTACTGCGCGGAAGCAGCGCCGGTGGTTGGCTCGATTTTTCGGAAGATGGCAGACAGGCAACAGGATGCTGAAGGTGCAGGACCAACTTCCTTTTGAAAGACCAGGCTCCAAATGTGTTTGCTTTGTGGCGTATGCGCTGAGGCGATGGCCTCCTACCAATGGATGGCTCACGCAGAGCCTCTACCTGATCGCCCCCCGCTTTTCAACATGGATGAAACGGCTCTTGTCCGTCATGTGACAGGGCTTCGTGGTTGTGTGGCAAAAGCTTCTCAAACTGCAAGTGTTGCAGTGGATCGGGCGACGCTGGCTGACCGCTGCTCTTGCATGTCCTACCTTGCTTGCGTCTCTGACTGTGTAAGACCGCTTGCCACAGGTCATCCTTGGAAACCAGCATCAGCTGAGTGTCGCCCTGATGCGGTTGATGGACCTTCCTTCAAACGTTGTTGTGTGGCGCCAGCAGTCGGCGTGGAACTCGCGCGAGACAATGAGAAGGTGGTTGTCCCTCTTGTCAAAGTCCCTTGGAGAGCTTGTGAAGAGGAGATATGTGATTCTTCTTCTTGACGTGCATTTGTCGCACATAGACAAGAGCATCTATGTTCATGCGCGCCGGTGTGGCGTGAGATTGGTGTACATCCCGGCGAAGATGACAAGCTTCCTTCAACCATGTTGATACGCATCTTTTCGCCAAGTTCAAACATGCCTTCCGGGTTTCTTGGCAAAGGACTCGCTCCTTGTCGCCTGGTGGTGTCGTGTCGACTGCATCTTGGATGCAGGTAGTGGTGGACGCAATCCAACAAGTTTCCCCAAAACAAACTGGCGCAGCGCATTTCTGTCCAACGGCATTGTGGAGAAGCAGCGCGCTCTGTCAATGCGGCACGCACTGAGTTCGGCTTTGATGATGGTGGCGTTGAATTACCTTGTGTGCCTCCTACTGCGGCAGATGCATTGTCCATTTTCCCCCAGCAAATGAAACTGGATATAATGTCCTGTGTCTTGTGGCAGACCAAAGAAGCTCGGACTAAGCGTGTGGGACAAGCCGAGGATCTTGGACAGAGTGAGACACTTCGGCCAAAGCGGCGGACTCTGCCCCCTACTTTCGAGCATTCCAAAGTGTTTCGAATTCCCCGCACCATGGACTAACCAGGGAGGTCACCTTTGCGCGGCGCAGTTTCGCGTATGTGTTTGCAGGCTCAAAAACGGGGCTGCGCAAAACCCTCCCTGCCCAGCTTCTTGCCCAGTGCAACAATGCAAAAAAGTGCGCAACGCCGTGTAGACACAGTGCAACGCACAGTGCAACACACCACGCAACGCTGCTATTCACGTGAGATTTTGCTGTTTCAGAAACTTGTGAGCTGCCCTTTCAAAAAGGTCAATGGTTTTTCCTGTCCACGACCACGCAACGCTGTAAATTACAGCGTTGCGTGGTGGGTTGCACTGCGCGTTGCACTCGAGCGCACCTTGCGGAGAACAGCGCCTCATTTCTAGACTTCTTGACATTGTGCGTTTGATGTGTCGACAGAGGGATTTGGTTCAGTTTAGTCGGCGTCCCTTTCAAGGGAGTATATATGACCGCAAAAACTCACGCTGAACGCGCGTCCACTGGCTCGTACTTGAGAGGAGTTTTCTGGCCCTTTGGTTGGGGTCTAAGCCAGCTTGCTTCTTAGATAGAGCAAAATTGTACACTTCAATTGGTGCGTGCTTGGAACCTGTGGAAAGCAGGTTATGTTTTCTTAATACATTTCACTAGCCAAAATGCTTTGCCACTTTGGGCTCAAGATCTTGTCGATTTTGGGTACCATCCTAGAGAGCTTCACCTGGGTTTGGTGTGCCGCTGGTGAGCGTGTGGTCTCCTTGCCAGGTCTACGTGGGTTACAGGAAGGTCCTGACCTCAAACTGCATTGAACAGTTACCCAGCGGACATGTTATCTGAAACCTCCCCGCAGACCAAACTTTCTCAGGTCACAAGCTGTCACAAGCTTCCCCATTCAACCCCAACTTAGCAATGTTGACTGGCGGACATTCTTTGAGTGACTCTAGTTGACATCTTAGACGTGTGAAGTTTGTTGTGGCTTTTTGTCGGCGCAAATTGTTGGGCGCAGCCGGAAGCTCGGTTGGAGACAGCGTGCTTCACGCGTGTCCACCAACGTTCAAAGGTCCACGAAACTGATATGATATGATGTACGCCGGCAAATTGTTTGGCCATAAGAGAAGACAAGAGAAGAGCAGGACAAGAGGAGGACAAGACCCGGTCACAGAGCCCAGCCACAAAATTCAGGGGCGCGGCCAGTCAGTGTGGCCAGCTCTTTTTTCTTAAGATAGAAACCCAAACAGTAAACTGGTTGGAAAAATTACCAGCTGGCAGCTCGCAAAGCAGCGCAATAGGAAGTTTTGTTTCTGCTGTGTTTGTTGCCACGTACAGAGATGTTCTTGGGTGTCTCGATAGGTTTTACTTTCACACTTCTAGAGATTGTGCGCCTGATGTGTGAAATGGGCGCCTGAGCACGAGTATGCGAATGTGAGACTGCAAGTTCTACGCTGAGGTACGGCTTTATTTTTGAAGCAGAATAACTCTCTCAAAGGCTCGGTGCTTGTCCGTGGACGGGGAACTTCGGTGCTCGGATGTCTTTTGTTTTTGCAGCGGACCCAGCAAGACCGGCTGCTTTATTACAAACAGCCTGAGGTCTTTGCTGATACTCCTTTTTCGAACATTCATGTTAAAGAGAGCCGAATTGATCATCATGTCATTTCGCAAACCAAAGGGTTAAATCAGGGTGCCAAGCTAAGTGCTTTCTTCCCTATTCGACGCAATGACCTGTCACGAAAGAGGTTCAACAGAGTTAAACAAAGCAACTTACACATCAATAAGCAAGATGTTCTATGCACTATTCTTGATGAAGCTGTGCCGATTTGTTTAGTCAATCATGACTTAACCATTCAAGATGCAATCACCTTACTTGACCTTTTGCTACATCGAAAACCAATACTGGATCATCACTCGACTTTCTTTGATTGTTCCCTTAACAAGCCAGCAGTTGTAGAGCAAAAAGGGGTCTCGGAAAATGATACGATTGTCTTACCGGCACAAACAGGAATAGTCCATTGTCATCTTCAAAGCAAACAAGTTCTCACAGTCTTTCAACCTAGATTTGAGGAAGGAGCTGTCTACCGATGTATGAGCAATGGCTTGCAGCTCTCG